CTTTGCCTAAGCCTCTTTCTCCATCTGCCAATGGCAAGAGCAAGAGTTTTCCCAAAGGCAAATATAAGAGAATTCATGTGCTTGCCTCAGTGGAAGGGAATGAAGCCGGCCTTCTTCACCATGAAGCTCCAGGCCCTGGGTCAGGCTGGGGCCGAGATCCTGCCCACCTCTTCCCCTCTTCTCATCTCCAGAAGTTTGGATGGCTTGTTTTCTTCTCCCAGCTCCTGCCGTCCACTCTTACACAAGGGTTTTTGTTGCCTTCATCTCCACTCACACCTCGGAGGAGCTGGCCACAACCCACTCAACTTCTCACCTGCCCTCAGCCTCCAAAGCAAATTCTGTGTCATTTTAGGAAGCATTTAAAAACAACAAAAAAGCAAACAAACAAAAACCCAACTACAGGACAACAGAGAAAGATCAACAGGAGGAAATGTCAACACAGTTTTTGAAAACATAAAGGGAGTGACAGAAGACTCTAGAAATACTGAAGGCTATAAATGGAGCTCAATCATTCGCATTAACTCCAATTCCTGGATGACTTTCCTAATAAGGATCATAAGAATGATTTAAAGAGCACTGATTGGGTGGAAATTACCTTAATACATCTTTGCACTTAAGCCCTTCTGCAACGGTACAAGCTAGATATTACATTATTTCATAGATATGGAAACAGAGGCACAGAAAAGATAAGAAACTTATGCGAGGTCGGCAGCAGTATATAGGACATACCCCACAGGGTCTTGTGTTAAGTGAGTTAATATTTGTTAAGTGCTTAGAACAGTGTCTGGCACATCGTAAGTGCTATGTAAGTCATAATGATTGTGAATAGAAAACAGCAGATCCAAGATGCAAACCCAGATTTGTGTGAGTCTGAAGCCCACTTGGTTTGAATTAGGCCACACCAGCTATGGGTTTGTTTTAAGCAGTGAGGGCGGATGGAGTGTTGGGCTTCCAACTCCTCGTTATCAGCCTAATATTCCACGGCTTTATTTACTTCTTCCCATTTTCCCTGAAGAGGTTTTACTTCTGGGTTCCTCGCCCTCCCTCTCACCAAAAGCCTGGGGCTCTGGTTGGGGTCAAAAAGCAAGTAACACCTTCTACGCTGTTTAAGGGACTTTCACATCCATTGGATTCACTTACACCATTAGGAAAAGTTGTGCTGGAAATGCCCAGTCTTAATGTCATGTGGGAAAGCTTCACCTTGAGTTATTCTTACCAGCACAGGTGAAATCATCCGAGTGCATCAAGAGGAAAAAGCAGGGTGGGTTCGACTGGTTGCCTTTCTCATCAGCTACACCTTACTCTTCCAATGGGCCCCCATTTGTTCCAAGAATCCAGACTCTATAAAAGAAAAGAAAAGGAAAAAAAAAAAAGGTGGATGGACCTGTACCTGCAGAAGAAATTTTCAGATTCGGTCAGATGGAAAGATTGGCCTTACAGTTATAAATTGAATGATTTAATTAATATTGCAGATTGGTAATGCATTCTCCTGGTTCAAAAATGTAAATGAGGAATTGTTAAGTGAAAAGTCTCTTACCTCTGCCTGTCTCCTTCTAGCTGCCACTTCCATAACCCCCAGACCACTGGTGTTTCCCATTGTTTCTTTATGCTTCTGCAAAGAAATGTGAATCCACTTGTTCTTTCTCTCTTCCTGTCTTACACAAAAGCAACACATAGCATTAACTGTTATTTTGCTTTTGCTTTTTAATTGAGCTAAAGGATTTTGAAGACCATTTCATATCAGTACATAAAAAGCTTCCTGATTCTTTTTTACAAATACAGAATATTCTGTTTACTAGCGTCCCCAAAATGTATTTAGTTTCCTCTAATGTAGGCAATTTCTAATCTTTTGCTATATAAACACTACTACAATGAATAGGACTAGATCATAAAGCTTTAATTTACTGAAAATTTAAAGCAACACATTACCATTACTTTCAACACAAGTAACTATCCTATAAGGTATTTCTAAATATAAACCCCATAAAATCTGCTTTGGGCCAGGCGTGGTGTCTCAAGCCTGTAATCCCAGCAGTTTGGGGGCTGAGGTGAGGGATTGCCTGAGCTCACGGGTTCGAGAACAGCCTGGACAACTTGGCAAGACTTCATCTCGATATTAAATTTAAAAATTAGCCAGGCGTGGTAGCACGCGCCTGTAGTTCTAGCTACTTGGAAGGTTGAGGTAGAAGGATCACCGGAGCCCAGCAGGTCGACGCTGGGGTGGCCATGGCCATGAGCATGCCACTGCCCTCCAGCCTGGGTGACAGAGTGAGACTTCAACTCAAAAAAAAAAATCTGCTTTGATGAACAAATGAGATTAATTTATAATGAGAAATGTTATTGGCATAGAAGAATTAATGTTCCAGAATCCCCAATTCCATTCTGTCCTTTTAAGTGGATATTCTGCTGCAAGTTTATTTACATGTTTAATTAGGTTAGTGGGCATTTTGCCCTAGAAAATAGCAGACTGAAACTAATCTAATCATCATGAATTCTAAATTAGAGTTTGGATAAGAGAGATTTTTTTACTAAATTTTCTAAACTGTTGTTTTAAGGTCTGTACAGAGCGCTCTGAATTTCGTATGTATTTGTAACATTGTCAGTTTCAATTGGGATACTCAGAGTATTCTTCTTTTTAAAAAAATAAGGATTTGAGGTGCAGGAATTATTTTTAAAATCAGAGTTTTGTGTATTTATACATTGCTTTTATGACTTTTAGTCTAACAAACTAGATTTGAAGTAATTTTTATTTACTTTTAATTTTTTTTTTGAGTTGGAGTCTCACTCTGTCGCCCAGACTGGAGTGCAGTGACTGCTCCCAGCCACCGCAGCCTCGACCTGCTGGGCTCTGGCGATCCTTCCACCTCAGCCTTCCAAGTAGCTGGAACCACAGGGGCATGCTACCATGCCCAGCTAATTTTTTTGATTTATTGTAGAGTTGAGGTCTCGCCAAGTTGCCCAGGCGGGTCGAATCTGCAGGCTCAGGCAATTTACTCACCTCGGCCTCCCAGTGCTGGGATTACAGGCTGAGCCACTGAGCCCGGCCTTACTTTTAATTTTTAAAAATGTTTTTAGAGACAGTCTCATTCTACCACCTAGGCTAGAGTGCACAGCCTCAACACTCTGGTATCAAGCAATCCGCACACATCAGCCTCCCAAGTAGTTAGGACTATAGGCATGTGCCACCATGCCAGGCTAATTTTTAATTTTAGTAGACATGAGAGTCTTACTGTGTTGCTCAGCCTGGTCTCAAACTCCTAGCCCCAAGCAATCCTCCTACCTCGACCTCCCAAAGCTCTGGGATTACAGGTGTGAGCCACGAGGCCCTGCCCGGATTTTTAAATAGTAAAAACCCATGACTACAGACATTCACTGCCAAGATCAAATATCATAATTAAATATTTCTTTTCTTTTGTCTTCTTTTTTTGAGTTAGAGTCTCACTCCATCGCCCAGACTGGAGTGCAGTGGCATGCTCCCGGCCACCACAGCCTCGACCTGCTGGGCTCCGGCGATCCTTCCGCCTCAGTCTTCCAAATAGCTGGAAATACAGGCGTGCTTCCATGCCCAGCTGATTTTTTATTTATTGTAGAGACGAGGTCTCGCCAAGTTGCCCATGGGTCTCAGACCCGCGGGCTCAGGCAATCCACTCGCCTTAGCCTCCCAAAGTGCTGGGATTACAGGCTGAGCCACCGAGCCCAGCCTCAATATTTATTTTCTATTGTGAGCTAGATGCCTTTTTCTGTCTAAATTCAAGCAATAAGTAACCCACAGCCAGACACAGTAGCTCACCTCATACTTGTAATCCCAGCACTTTGGGAGGCTGAGGCAGGAGGATTGCTTGAGCTGGGAAGTTCAAGACCAGTTTGGATGGCATAGCAAGACCTCGTCTCTACAGTAAATTTAAAAAAAAAATTAGCCAGGCATGGTGGCACACATCTGTAATCTCAGCTACTTGGGAAGCTGAGGCAGGAGGATTGCTTGAGCCCAGGAGTTCAAGGTTGCAGTGAGCCATGATTGTGCCACTGCACTATAGCCTGGGCAACAGAGGAAGACTCTGAATTTTTTTTTTTTAAAGTATCCTGCTTGCAAAACCCCAGGGGCATAAACTGGCATAAAGGGATATGCTCCCCTCTTAAAACCAAAATCTGAAGGACAAAATATATGTATAAAAAGAACAGCAACATCAAGACAATAATAACAGAGTCTCACTCTGTCACCCAGGCTGGAGTGCAGTGGCTCACTCACGGCCACCGCAGCCTTGACCTGCTGGGCTCAAATGATCCTTCCTCCTCGGCCTTCCAAGTAGCTGGGACTACAGGCATGCACCACCATGCCCGACTAACTTTTTTTATTTACTGTAAAGATGAGGTCTCACAAAGTTGCCCAGGCTGGTCTCGAACCAATGGGCTCAGGCAATCCTCTCACCTCGGCCTCCCAAAGTGCTGGGATCATAGGCATGAGCCCGGCCAGAAACCTATTTAATTAAGGTGATGCTGGCACATAGAGGAGCAGCCAGGGATCGTGTCAGGGAAGTGGGTGAAGACCAGGTCACAAATACTCTAAGTGCCGGGCGAGGAATTCAGACTGTGTCCTCTGCAGTAGTGCTTCTCACACCCCACCATTTACAGAAGTCGCTAGGGTTTTGTTCAGTGCAGACTCTGATTCAGTAATTCTATGGCCAGCCCAAGAGTCTGTGTTTGCAGTAAGCTTTGGGTAAGGCTGATCCCCAGGCCATACCGAGTAGCAAGACTCCAGGCAACAGCAGGAATACATTTTGGGGCTAGAGTTGAGGGTGGGAGGTAGAGGGGTGAGAGAAAGTTGCCCTGGCACCTCCTTTGAGTTGCAGCCAAAATCTGAAAGCCATATAGACCATATAGATATTTTATTTAATCTATGTATAGAAGCTTTTTCTATGGACCCCCTTCCCTCCTTCCAGATGCCAAGAGAGCTCGCCCAAAGAAGTGTTTTAAACCACACTTTTCCTTTCTTTTTCATGCAGAGCAAAGCCAAAGAGTTGCCTCTCTCTGCCGTACGTTTCATGGAAGAACTCGGTGAATGTGCCCTTGGGAAGATCTATAAAGGTCATCTCTACCTCCCGGGCATGGACCATGCCCAGCTGGTGGCCATCAAGACCCTGAAAGACTACAACAACCCCCAGCAATGGACGGAGTTTCAGCAGGAAGCCTCCCTGATGGCCGAACTGCACCACCCCAACATCGTCTGCCTTCTCGGGGCCGTCACCCAGGAGCAGCCTGTGTGTATGCTCTTCGAGTACTTGAATCAGGGGGATCTCCACGAGTTTCTCATCATGCGGTCCCCACACTCCGACGTGGGCTGCAGCAGCGACGAAGACGGGACTGTGAAATCCAGCCTGGATCATGGAGATTTTCTGCACATTGCCATCCAGATCGCCGCCGGCATGGAGTACCTGTCGAGTCACTTCTTTGTCCACAAGGACCTTGCGGCTCGCAATATTTTGATCGGAGAACAACTCCATATAAAGATTTCAGACCTCGGGCTTTCCAGAGAAATCTACTCCGCGGATTACTACAGGGTGCAGAGCAAGTCTTTGCTGCCCATTCGCTGGATGCCCCCTGAGGCCATCATGTATGGCAAATTCTCCTCGGATTCGGATATCTGGTCCTTTGGGGTCGTCTTGTGGGAGATCTTCAGTTTCGGACTCCAGCCCTATTATGGGTTTAGTAACCAGGAGGTGATCGAGATGGTGAGGAAACGACAGCTCTTGCCTTGCTCGGAAGACTGCCCACCCAGGATGTACAGCCTCATGACGGAGTGCTGGAGTGAGATTCCTTCCAGGAGGCCGAGATTCAAAGACATCCACGTGCGGCTCCGGTCCTGGGAGGGGCTCTCCAGTCACACCAGCTCTACCACCCCTTCGGGGGGAAACGCCACCACGCAGACGACCTCCCTCAGCGCCAGCCCAGTGAGTAATCTCAGCAACCCCAGGTATCCCAATTACATGTTCCCAGGCCAGGGGATCACACCACAGGGCCAGCTTGCTGGTTTCATCGGCCCGCCCCTACCTCAGAACCAGCGATTCATTCCCATCAATGGATACCCCATACCTCCCGGATATGCGGCCTTTCCAGCCGCCCACTACCAGCCCGCCGGGCCTCCCAGAGTGATTCAGCACTGTCCACCCCCCAAGAGTCGGTCCCCAAGCAGTGCCAGTGGGTCGACCAGCACCGGTCACGTGACCAGCCTGCCCTCGTCGGGATCCAACCAGGAAGCCAATATCCCTCTTCTGCCCCACATGTCCATTCCAAATCATCCCAGTGGCATGGGGATCACTGTCTTTGGCAACAAATCTCAAAAACCCTACAAAATAGACTCGAAGCAACCGTCTTTGCTAGGAGACTCCAATATTCATGGACACACCGAATCTATGATCTCTGCAGACCTGTAAAATGCACAACTTTTGTAAACGTGGTATACAGGACAAACTAGAAAGCCGTAGACGAAATTTCTATTCAAATGTTTTTATTAAAGTAAGGTTCTCACTTAGCAGACGTTGCAACGAGTATCTTCTGTGAAGTTTAACTGCGTCTTACCAAGCAGGACAGACACTAGCCAGACAAAAAACGCAAAAACACTGTGGGATGTACACTCCATCAAAGTGCAGGACGTGGCACCGGGATTGAACATACGGTTTCAAGTCCTGAACACTGCACACCGGCGAAGAGGAAAAGAACCTGGCGATGAAGTATCAAACCAAAAAGGAAAGTCAAGTGCTGCTCGTGTGTCAGCCTTCGACCACCGTGACTGCTCTCTCCCCAAAATGTATCTATCCCATAGTGTTAGTGTTTGTCTGCCGGCTGTCTTTTCTTCAGGACAGATGTTCAGGAATTTTATTGGTTCAGTTTAGACTCTGTGCATGTTTGTGTGCGAGTGATGCTCAGAATCGATGAGGAAACTTTAGGCCAAATCTGAATCCGCGATGGAAATGAGCCATACACACAAGGATAACATCCACTGAAGCCTCTGCCTAGTGGGGCTTTGGGAAGGCGTCGCCCTTTCCTCCTAGTGAACTTGCTCTTCTGATCACGAAGGCCTTTTCCACGTTTTCCTTTTTCACGGTGTGTTTACACCGTAGCCCTTGAGATAACACAGGGTGTGGGACCATAACAAAGCTAGATGCGGATGCTGGAATTGATTGTTGCGGATGGTGTGTTTTGTTGCATTAGAAGTGGGGCGTCGCAGGAGGCCCCGTCAGGAGCACAACCCCTCGGTCTAGGCTTCCCTGGGCCAACAACGTTGAAATGAGCGTGTGCCGATGGAAAGCGCACCCTGGCACCTCGAAACCCCCTGTTTACAGGCTGTCCAAGGTGTCTGGGTACTTGCCATCAGTGGGCTGTAGGGGGGCAGGCAACCCTGTGATGATACCAACATCTAGTACATTTAAAGTTTCTCTCACTTTTTTTTTTCTTTTCTGTGCTGGAAATGTTCACAGACTCTATTCCAGCCCCAAGAATTATAACAACTTATTCATAGAGCTAGCTGGACTCCAAAGACGGTAAATTCTTTTTTGCAAGACATTGCAGTATTTCTAGAAAACGAGTATTCAGTTCTCGTTTCAGAGGTTATCAAGAACAGAATTCTTTAAGCTGGTAAAAAGAAGCAGCATGATCATTTTTGCCTTAATTAGTGGGAGGCATCAAAAGGGCATCTCGTGGCATTTACCTGCCAAGCCTTTTTTGCCAAGTTTAGAATTCTTATGGGTTTCAAGTTCTATATAGGAAGGAATTAAATATTTGAGTTTTCTCTTGTTAAAAAAAAAACTCCTTTATTCTAAGAACAATGTCTAAATGTCTTGTTTTTATTTTAAAGGTGCAAAGAGACATATGAGATATAAAATAATTTCTGAAAATGATATTCGATGAGGAGAATGCAAGAGAATTAGAAACACATTGATAGTTTCATTTTTTAAAAATACAATTAGCATGAGAAATTCAGAAAATATATTTGCCAAACTGAGTTGCAATTTTCCCAAACCTGAATCTTCAGACAACCAACATGAACTTATAGGTACTGTGAACACAAATAATTGGCTAGATCCAGATTTCTGGGAGATAAATTAAGACATATTTTTGTGGCATAAATAAGCTGATTCAGAAGTTACATTTCTTAACTTTAGATAGAGGAGAATATTTGTATCCTTTTGTTGCTATGCAACTGTTTAATGATGAAGCTTCAAACCACAATTTTGTATATCATATGACAATCAATTGTTTTCCAAGAATATTTATTATTTTAAGTGAACACAATTTCAGTGAATCTGAGTTTTTCTAGGACTCCCTTAAAGGGAAATTAGCATTCCATGAGCCAGTCAAATACCTACTCTGGAAAAACATGATTACAGTTAAAAAATAAATTCAAGTTAGTTTTTTATAAAGAACTATAACATTTATTTTAAACAGTTTATAATAACTGAAATCATTAAGGTGAGCAAACAAAATTTCAAAACCACTTGTAATAATGTATTTTATAATAGCACTGTGATACTATATAACACAGTTCCTTTTGTATTAAAATAGTATTTTTTCACAAACTGAAAAATATCTTTTGCTTTGTTGACAATGTTTTGTAAGATGACTTTATTTTCAGATCTTTTTTCTTTTTTTTGCACAAAACTATGTTTATGGTTTGTATCACAGAAGTGAAAATATATCTCTGCATTTTTATATCTGGTCTGTTTTCTTGTTTTCTTTGTTTGTTTTTAACTCAGTATAGGTTTTCTTCAGAGATATAATGACAGTATTCAAATATCTCACCCTACCATATCTTTCCTTATTTTTCACGGCATGCATTTAATCACTGTATTACTTAATGTTTAATTTGTTATTATGGGCATTTCAAATAGACAAGTATTGAACTGTAATGACAAAAAGACTTTTTTTTATATTGAGGATATATGCATTTGTACTTTACACAGCAGAGATGATATTAAGCATTGATTATTTTATGCTGCTGTTTATTAAAAATGTTTACTATAAAATATTATTTCCTGAATATTGCTATCATAGAGATATTTGGGAATTTTCACATTATTTCTCCTAATGATTTACATTTCGTAGAAAGAGGAATCACAGTTTTATTTGCTGTTATTTCATTGAAATGATTTTTTTAAAATAGGCTTTTAAAATAGACTTGGGGCCATTGCTTTGCTAAGCTATGGTGTGGCCATCTGCTCTTTGAGCTATGGCCAAACAATGTTTTCTTAAGCTTTGGCCTCCTCCCCTATCTTGAGGAGGTGAATCTGCTCTCTCTCCCTCTCTCTCCCTCCCTCTCTCTCTCTCTCTCATTTACTTTCTAAATAAACTATATTTCCTAATCTAAAAAAAAAAATACACTTGGGCATTTTCTTGCCAGTGGCCATTCGTGGAGGGGATCCCGATGATTTTATAATAGAATGCTACCCAGCTTTCCACTTTTAAAATCAAAATAATATATTGAACAATCGCTTAACAACCAGTGGAATGTAAAAGATTGATTTTAAGAATAGAGCTGCATCCTTTTCTGCCTTGATGTTTCCATATAAACTTAAACATCAAAAATCATGTCTTTGGACTCTAAAGAAAAGGCTGTGTACATCTTACCATGTCCAAGTTAGATTCCAACCATATTGATAAAATAAAATAAATGTAGCCATTTAATTGTCACAGCTTATCTTTATGACCTTATTTGCCCAAAAGAAAGAGTTCCCCATCTGGCGATTAATACACACTGTCAAGGAAAATGAGTATCATTGTGAAAGTTCAAAGAACTTGTCCATTTCTGCTATTTAATACAGAAGGGATACAATAAAACCTTCAGGGCCTTATCCATCTGTTTTAGGTACAGCTCTTGTCACCACCTCAACGATCAAACCCAATAAAGTAAGCCCTCCACATGGCAGTGGGATCTGTGTTAGGCTGGGTTTCTCCCTCGCACTTGAAATCCTCAATCTGCCCTTCACTCCCATTTCCTTCTTAAGTCTCCCATGCTCTTGCCCCTCCTCCTCCTCCTCCTCCCGCCATCCCCAATCCCTTCAACGCTGAGATTTACCTAATTCCTGATGGCCAACACCTGCAAACTCCCAGCATCACCTTCCAGTCACGCCTACTACAAGCCACTCAATACCAAATATAAAGGGTTCTGCTATCTACACACCTTCAAAGGTTATTGCCCTTCCAAGCAGGTCTCAAAGTGTAGTTCCCAGAGCAAAGAAATAGCAGCACTCTGGGACTCTAGAAATGCAAATTACCAAGCCCCTGCTTTGAGGTACTAAGTCGGAAATTCTGGGGAAAGGACCCAGCAATATGTGTTTTAACAAGTCCTCCAGGTGATGTTGATCGTCTCTGAAACTCAAGAACTACAAAACCAGCCTGATTTAAAGGTATTAGATGGGGGTTGAGGTGGTGGGTGGTCGTTGCATCCTTAGTCATGTGTGTGTGCGTGTGCACTTAATAACATTGTAGCCCCTTTATTCCCCTTAAAGAAAACCAAGTTTTACTTTAAAAATTCCGCACTACAACATTATTGTGTTAGCCATTTGACAGCGATATTTTTTGTAGTTGTTCAATTGGCTAGAAGACTGACAGCACCCAGCCTGTGTCTGGAATATACTCCTTGCCTAGTTCACCTGAGACCTACATTCTTGTACAGCTTCCTGTGACACCCTGACCTCGGGTGGATGGATGCAGTCACCTGAAGCTTGTTCTGCTGCTTTTCTTTGCCAGCTGCAGTCCATCAGTCCTTAGCTGCTGTGCTACTCTTCTGCTGAGCTTTACTCCCCACTGATTTAAGGGGGCTGAACGTTCTGAGGAAGGTTGGGCAGGGGGGAGGAGGGATGGCAAGGGGGTACTAGAGGTGAAGTTCATACTCTTCTTAATTGATAGGGTATTTTTTCCAGCCAGTAGCTCAAATGCTGAAGAGGAAGGGCTAGATTAGAGGAGAAGGAGGAGCAAGGAAGCACACCCATAAAAGGTTTTCTGCATCCAAAATATGACTGCACCTGCGGTTTGTTACCATAAATGCCAGGAGTTTTAGGAGACTGTTGACCCAAAGGAAGGAGAGCCTTACAAACCATCAAAGCATTCAAGGTTAATACAATCCTCTGGGAAATCAGGCTGGAAGGCTCAAAAATATGAAGACATGTAGGGAGAAAGTCTGCTGACATATTTATGACCAGTTGAATCTGAAGCACCAGTGAATTGTTTACTCACAGACTACCAGAATGACATTTGCTGGCCAGGCCTGGCAAGGTATGTATCCTTACTGAAATGACTACGTTGGTAAGTGCAGTCATGTGTCACTTAACAAAGAGGACACAATCTGAGAAATGTGTCCCTAGGAAATTCCCTCATTATGCAAACATCATTAAGTGTACTTGCACAGACCTAGAGGCTACAGCTACTCCACACCTAGGCTGGGTGGCCTAGCCTATGGCTCTTAGGCTACAAACCTGCACAACATGTGACTGCACCGAATAATGTAGACCCTTATAACACATTGGCAGGTCTTTGTGTATCCAAATATATCTAAACATAGAAAAAGTACAGAAAAAATAGGATATAGACTATTTTAAAATGGGGCT